AAGCAACTTCAATGCAGTGGGAAAGGGCCATACAACAACTGCACAAAAGCAGAGCGCATTACTCTGCAGGCATGCCCTTGCTGAGCATCCACACTGCTCCTCCTCTTTTCCTCGGATGCTTGTGGCAATCGGCACCAAGCCCTTTGCCATATGAAGGAGCAGTGCATTTAAGTCTCTGGAATATTGAGTTCAGTTCCAACCTGAATGTTTGTGTGCTCGATGGTTGGTTTCTTTTTCGTGAGCTCAGCCAAGCCGCGACAAGCTGCATGTTCACTTCAACTCATCAGAGGCTCTCATCCATCCAATGCGTCATGTTCACACCAAATGCAGACTCCTACATGCATGACAGTGCTATCGACTGGGCTAGCCAGTGATAACGACTAACCACTGGGGACAGGTACACAGTGTTCAACAAGGCTAGTAAACAGGGGCTCAATCAACAAATGTCCGCGTGCAGAAAGGAATGGGAGAAAGTGTCATGGTAAACAGGGATCCTTACATTATACACCTGAACATTGCCTTGTAAATGGTGGTTTCCCTGTATTTTGGTGTTGAAAAGGCAACATGCTTCAAATGGTTGCAAAATGTATCTTTTAAGGAGCCCTGGTAAACACGGCGAGCTCCAACGGCCCTGAAAATAAATAGAATGTGCGCCGCCAACACTTGAACGGGCCCAATGTGCCATGGAAAGATGTCCCTTGCCTTGCCCTTCACGGCAAAAATATGCAAAGTTGGCATCGCGTTCCCTCTAAATCGGCATCAAAAGATAAGACACACCCGCGGTTTTTGTGTCAAAATGTAACCTGCGGGTGCAACTCGTTCAAAGTTTGATATGGGTTTCAGCAAAGGCATGGTGTGAGCTCATGAAACCATGTTCCTATCGGGCGTGTCTGTTTTTGAGGAAAGCACACACCCCAACTTCCATGGTTTATGCAGCAGCTCTTTTCGGCAAGGACCCTGCCCTAACTTGAATTTGCTTCCCCCAGTTCTTGCCAGCAAGCGGCCACCAATATCGTCCAGGATAAACTCCAACTTCAGCTGCTGAGAAGGTTGTGCGCCTGAGCCCACACAAGTTGCCAGAGCTCGATGCGACCCTTCGCACCTAAATCAGGCAGATCCAGCTGGAGAGGAAAATGCTCCGGCGTGAGCTCGCTGAGGTACAACACGTCCACAGGTCTGGCACAAAGACATGGTGCACGGAGCTTGACAAGCATGTCCAACAAGAGATCATCCATTGCAAGAACCCCCAGCCTTCCGCTGCAGGAAAAAATGCGGCCTTGCACGTCCTCCTGAAAAAGAATGGCCCCCTCGACACTTGCGCGGATCTTGGACCGCGAAAGCGCGGTTACGGGGCGAAGCAAAAAAAGTGGATGAGGCGGCTTCTGAGCTCGGTTTGTCAAGGACCTACATTGGAAGGCAAAATGCGGGGGTGTCTTTCCTTGTCTTTCTCTGGGACCCTCCCCCCCCAAAGAAGTCTTCCTTTTGGTGTTTCTTTGAAACCACCAAAAACACCACCCTCAAAAAAAGGCATACCCCTCTTTTGTGGGCTTTCTTCGTGAAACCAAAAGCAAAACCCTCCTGCAATTTTGGGGCGGCCCAAAATGGGTTCCAAATCCTAAGTTGAGTCCCCAAAGATTGGGGGGACCTCCATTTTTGGCGCCCGGATCCCGAATCCCGAACAACCACCGAGAAAGGAATTAACAAAAACGCTGCTGGCCACCTTAAACCCCCTTAAAGCCGACGAGCAAACCCCGAACAGCCCGCAACCTGAAACCCGAAAAACCCGGAAAAACCCGGAAAAACCCGCAACCCGGAAACATCCGAAAGATCCGAACAATCCGAAAATCCGAAAACCGGACGAGCCCGCGCGCGAGGCTCCAAGGTGTGGCCGCGCAGCAGGAGCCAGTCCCGCAGCGTCTCCTCCCAGTTGCCGCTGTGCTCCAAGGACACCCGCGCCTCGCGGGTCCCATGAAAAAAATGTCAGGCAACTTTTAGTGAAACCCAAAAAGAACACGTGACGAAAAGAAAGCCGAGCCTCAAAAAAGGAACTGCACTCATTTGGCTGGAACAAAAAAAGGTGGCAAGCCAGCTTCCCACCTGTTTAGCAGCTGGCTGGAAGCCCAGGAATTGCCAAAGCTGGCCATGCTGCATGCGGCTTGTAGGCGCTTAAGTTCGACGAAGGGATGCTTGCTTTCTGTTTTCTTGAGCACCATGGCTAGCCTTGAACATCTCCACTCAGAAAATAATGTACATATAAATCATGTAAGGCTAGATTGCTCAGGAAGTGGCTGGAATTCCTAGGATATGATAACTTCACAGTAACTTCAGCTGACGCTGGCCTATCGCAAGCCCCTTCATGCTGAGACTTTTCTTGAGCCAACCAAATGTCTGCGTGCACACCTTCTGAAGCAGGTGTTCATAGTCTTGCAACTGGTCTGCACAGATCTGATGCGACACCCCTTCGCCGTGTTGCTGTTCGACACTTCAATCGTAGGAATCGGAGAAGCTGAAATTATTCATGCTAATTGCATGAACCAAACGAAACCTTGGGCGGCTCTTCTGGCGGGCGTTGCCCGCCAGCACTTACGCCTTCGCCTGTCAAGGCACATGAGCACATGGGTCGGCCACGAAGAAAGATGGCTGTGGGTCAAAAATGACTACCCACAATGGAACCCTGGGTCATGGAACCCAGGATTAAAACCTGCCCAGATGTCCCTTTCGCCTTCGTCTCCATCTCCTCCAGGATGAGCTTGGAGGTGAGGCCGGCGCCCATCAGCACCAGCGGCCTCGCTTCATTCGAGCGGCGGAAGTCGCGCGCTCTGGTCGCGGGGGTCGCACGCCGAGGCCGGGGCACGCCGTTGCCCGGCCGCGTGCCGGCGCCCACAAAGAAGAGCCTCTCAACCTGGAAACGAGCGCAGGCAGCAAGGGCAAGGCAGGCAGCAAGGGCAGGGGGCGGACAAGGGCGGAAGGGGTGGAAAGGGGAAAGGGGCGGACAAGGGCGGAAGGGGTGGAAGGGAGCGCACAGAGAGCAAAGCGGCGCAAGGGGAGCAAAGGGCGCGGGCCTCGGCAGCGCGAGGTGCTGGCCGCGTCATGGCCAGGCCGCCCTGCCACGGCAGGAGCCCGTGTGACAGACCTCAGATGGGGTCCCTAAACTGGGCAAACGGTGCAGACCCCCCGAAAAGAACGAGAAAAAAGAAGGAAACAAACACCCCAGGTCCTATGTTGATGACGCAAACCATGAGATGCTCCGAAATGAGCTGCAAGGGCTCGGTCTCTCTGGGCCGCACCAAACGTAGCGCCATGCTTGAGATTGTAAAGATCGCTGATGATCTCGGGATCCCTGGCGCAAGATTTGCTTGATCAGTGTGCATCTCCGAAGGTCCCACACGACACCAGCTTAGAAGATCGTGATGGCCCGAATACGCTGTTCGGGAACAAACCCATGTATTTGGGTGATGGATGTGTTTGTGGTTGCTGCCCATCTTGAGAGCAACACTTCCGCTGGCCTAACAGTCTCCTCCACGATGTGCTTTTCGATGTCGCCAGCACCTGCCTCCTGTGCACAGGGTGGGACATGCGAAGGGAACGATGAGGACGTCCCTGACGCTAGGAAAGCTATGCCTAGTATTCCCTTCCCCGGCGGAGTAACGTGGGACCACCTCCCCTTTTTCGATAAGAAACAATGACGATGAGGAAACTAAGATAAAGAATAGAATCAAGATAAATAGTTCGTACAATATTTACACTCAACAAATCACCTACGTATCTTTTCGTTTGTTGGAATACAGATTGATCTAAACCTCCTCAGTCTATACACTGCATCTGAAAAGCTATGTCAATGATCAAATTGATTACAACTATGCACCACAGAACCTAGCAGATCCCAAGCCAACCGAAATATAGACAAGCTCGTTGGCAATTCTGACCCAACCTTCCCAGATCGAATTTCGAACGACCTGAACATGTCGAAGTTAAAGCGGAGCTGCGGAGCGCAGCACCAAGAGAAAAAAAAAAAAAAGGAGACCCACAGAAGCATGGCCATTGGTGGCAAACAGGACCACGGAGATCTTGAATCATTGAAAGAAGTTGGATTCTGCTTATAGCGGCTATGTCCGAGGGTGAAGCCAAACACAAATTGCACTTGCCACTGCGTCTTGTCATTGAGATTGCTTTCTGTTGGATCCCATTCTCTCTTGAAAAAAGCTCTCCAAATCTTTGCTATCGAGAAATCCAACCGAGAACTTCCAAAGTGATGTTGGCCTTCCCCCAATCAATTAATCAGTCAGTCAGTCAAGCAGTCAATCAGTGAATCAGCCAAGGTTGCAACATGCAGCTTCCATCCAATGGTTTGGATTGGTCGTTCGGTCATTCGGAGCGGCAATGCTGACCAGGATTAACCTGGAGTCGCCTCCTGACCCTTAAAAAATTGTTGGTCATGACCCAAAATTGAGGGGTCATGTACCCACTTTTTAAAGGGTCATGGAGACTCTAGGTGGGGCTAATGTTGACCCAGGATTCACAAAGGGCGTTTTGACGCCAAGATTCATTTCAAGACTTCCAGATATTACGGCAAACCCCGCCCTTCGGCGCTTCGCTCCGAGCGCCACCTTGAAGCGCCGCAGCACCGTGGCGCGCGCCGCCTTCCGCATCTCCGCATAGAGCTCGCCCTTGGGCGCCGCGTGGCCTGCCTCGGCGGCGCAGCGCTCGTAACGACTGCACCCGGGCGCCGCGCCAGGAACTCCAATTGAGTCACTTTCTCAAAACCCGGCAGTGAAATGGTCGCAATCCCAGAACCATGCTTCAAGAAATGAGAAGGCGGTCGCAACTATTTCTGGCTGGGTCCCTTACTAACCTTCATCTACCCGGGTTTTGATTGTGGCTCAGTTGCTGTTTGTTTTTGCCTCGCCGCGCCAGTCTCCAATCTGTAGATGGCCGAAATCCAATCATTTCGCACCGCCTAAACCTAGGAATGATTCGATTCCCCTGTACATATCAACCAAAAGTAGTTTCGCCTGGCTTCAAAGAGGTGCAAACGGACTGCGTCCATCCACAGTTCTCATGGTCCCGGAAACACCGAAGTCTGGCCCCGCCTCTGCCATCTGCTGCATGTTGGCCACAGGAAAAAGGACCATGATGCTTTCCTTGAAGCAGGGAACTGAGGCATGCCAGAAAGCCTATAGCTCTCTGGAGACAACAGCATACTGGCTGCTGGTCAGAAACGGGTATCCAAAATCGAACCCATGGACTCACCTGCCGTCCGGTGGTTTACTTCTACTTTTGACCCATACCCATATCAACTCACAAAATGAAACATCAGTTTGCCAGGTCACGCATCCCTCAGGCGCCGCTGATGGATCTGTCCTAGTGTGGTCAATCTGGATGTCGAAACAAAGACTCGGCAACTGCATTTGCTTTCAAAGACAGCCAGGGGGGGCGCTCGCCTCGTGGGGCAGTGCACGTAGAAGTTCGGCTTCTCTGGCATGCCTGCTGCTGAGGTGATAGGCGTCCAAGCCTGGCAGCCCCAAGTTTGCAGATGAAAAGCGCCAAAGTCATGAGCCTTTTTCTCCTCCACCGGCGTGCCGAGGAAAATCGTGTGGTGCCCTCACGCATCAAAAGTCCCAAAAACATCGGCGACTGGCCAGGCGCCAAGGCCGCGACTGAGATAGTCCACTTTGCAATCTACGGCCTCAGGTTTGAAAGGCCGCGGTGCCATCGGTGCCATCGGCTGGAAGCTCCGCCGGCACACGAGGCCCTGGCCCAGAAGAAGGCGATCACACCGCAGGAGTACTCCCGGCCATCCAGGTCTTCCGCCGTCTTCTCCACGGACATGTCCTCCTTTCTGGGCTCCGGAGCGGAAGCTCCGCCGGCACACGAGGGCAAAACTTCACAAACGCATGGATACATAGAATCACTCGGTTGCTTTCTGCTCCCCTGCTAAAAGTTTAACTTGTGTGGTTTAATACGGAGAACCAAGCAAAATGCACCAGTGCAGACCACACCTTCAAAACCTACGTGCTGTCCGAACCTTCTCCGGCCGCGCCTCCGCGTTGGCGTTGCCATGCTCCAGCAACTTCTCGTAGGCATAGGGCGTGTCAGCATTTACCACGACGACATCGCCCTTCCTCACCACCAAGCACTGCAAGAACTGGCAAACAGCGAAATAATCCAACTCACTACAAGAAGGACGGGTTGGGCACCCGAATATGTGATGCAATCAGCTGTTACCGCAAATTCTCAATTGTTAAAATCCACCGACCCCTTTGCCAAAGCCACACCATCCTCTCGGAAAGGGGCAAGGCGCGCTCCTAGTCTTAGTGGTTGGAGTGGGAGAATCTAGGGGGGGGGGGGGGGGGGCGGCACCGGCAGAATTTCTAACACGACCAACCTTCAACTCTAAACCTCCAACTTCTCTAACTTCTGGTTCTAACGTCTAATTTCTCAAACCTCTAACCTCTGACTTGTCTAACGTCTACCTCTAAAATCTAACCTCTAGCTATAAACCTGAAACTCTAATCTCCAGCTCTAAACTCTATTCTGGATGTCCTCCAACCTCTAACTCTGCAACCTCTAACCTCCAACCTCCAACTTCTCTAACCTTCTACCTCTAACCTCTACCTCTAAAATCCGTCTCAACAATCCAGCTCTAACCTCTAGCTCTAACCTCCAACTTCCCTATCCTCTATCTCCAACCTCCCACTTCTCTGACGTTTAACTCTAACGTGTAGCTTTAGCCTCTGAATGATCGAGCCTCTAATTTCGCTTACCTCCAAACCTCGTAGACAAAGCTGGCCGACACCCCAGCCTCACCAGCGGCTTAGTCTAGGTAAATGTCCTCTGTTGACAAAACGTGGACGTCCAAGCGTAGACTACATTCGTCCACACCCTCGGCATCACCAGCGGCCTAGGTCTAAAAAGTTGTCTTCCGCAAATTAAACAAAGGTCGAGCATGTTTCTCGGCTACTTTGGTCGAAAGCCCCAGCTTCACCAGCGGCTGAGCCTTCCGTTGACTGCCCGCGGATGTTTCAGCATTGTAGGCTGATGTAATGTGGATGTTCAACACGTTCCTCGACGAAGTCGCTCTGCGCCCAAGCAGCTTAGCCAGGAGCGCATCTAAGAGTAAACTGGCAACGTAGATGCGAGACACGTTTCTAGTCTAATGGCTCAACTTGGTTTGGAAAAATGTCGTCTGTTTACGGGCCACGTCAGGCACCATCAGCAAAGTTGGTAGAGTCCTCTTGCACTTCATGCGGGGGGTCCCTTTGCCCGAGTGGCCAAGTAGCGCCCTGCCAAGGGAGCCCTGCCAAGTGGGGAGCCTTGCCACTGGCTTGCCACCTACACCAAAAATGAGCCTTTCGCGCAGTTCTCATGTTCGCAATGCCCAGCTCCGCGTCCCGCGTTTGCATCGCGTCGCGGGGAGCGCCTTTGTGCCTCCGTTACGCCCTGCGGGCTTCCCGCGCTTGCTACGCAATGGAAGCTGCGGCCGCGTCACTCGCACTCACGCGACGGTTCCTCGCGCGTCTTCTTGAGTTGATGCCGGTTGGGTCTACTGCGCCCATACATGATGGTGCGCAAGCAGCCCTGCAGTCAATGGCCGAGGGCCCTTCCATTTCTAACTTTGTTGCTGGCTGACCCATCAGTCGGCCTTGCAAGGGGCTCACCCTTCAGTCACTCATCTGCGTTTCTTGACTCGGACAAGCGCCGAACTCGGCTTTGCTTGTGGCTTCGGCTCTGCGGGTCGTCCAGCTCTTCTCTGCGCCTTGTCGCGCAGGCTTTCGATACTTTCATACTGATCAACATGTCCTGGGAGACACGCCCCTGCAAATTTGTTTCTGAATATCAAGAAATCGGATCGAAACGAACCCGAATCGAGGCATTCCAAATGACCCAGACCCTCATCCCTGTTCAATAAAAGTACCGGGGCGGAGTTGCACCGTGTCCAAACCATATCTAGTGATGTAAATTGATGCGTGTTTGGACAAGCAAAACTAGCACGTCTATTCTCATATGGCTAAGGAATCAATTTGCTGCGGTCTGGTATGTTTCAAGGTTGGCTAGATATGAAACAACATCTGACGATACTGTAGATGGGTAAAATCTACTTCGCGCCAGTTAGTAGGTTGTTTACCCCCAACTGATTTGAATCAAACCTTGTGCAAGGTATGTTTCATGCGGGAAGGACCAAATACGAGGCCTGGCAGCCCAACTGAGAGAGAGAGAGGCATGAAGCGCCATGCAGCTGGGCGGCTCCACAGCTCCGCCCTCCAGCTTCAAGCCGACTGCTCGGCCCTCAGACACCAGCACCTGTCGTGCAAAAGATCACCTTTGAACAGCGGAACACACCACCTTTAAAGGCACCTCTTGAAGCAATGATCAATCCATCCGCATCATTTTTCTACAAAAAGAGGAGGCGATGTCAAATCCATCCGCTTAAATTCGCATCTGACCTGTGCGCTCGCGCCTCATCAACGGCTTGCCCGGTCTTGATCTCTACACCGTGCTTCTGCGCCAGCGCCGCCAAGGTGTCCTTCACTCCTTTCCAACCTGCGGGTTTGCACCAAGTGATGACCCAAAGAAAAATACGGGAAAAATGGGAAGATGAGATTCTGGCAATCTGGAAAAATGATGTTTCAACTTTAATCCATGAAAAAAGAAAGTTACGGGACTATAAAACATTTTTCCACAGAGAAATGGAGAAACCCCATGGAAAGACCCCGTGGGTGTGTCTGTGTGTCACTCTCGTTCCGAGGCGCCGCCCATGGGGTACCAAACCCCATCTGTGAGGTCGGTGCCAGCAAGAAGGCACAAAGCCCCAGGCGAGTTGTATGGAGTAAGGCCAACCTCATCGCAAGCACCAGCACAGATGTATATATATATATATACATACATATATATATATATACTCACCAAACCTGGGTCCATGGGAGGTACCGTATATATATATATATCGAATCGTTGGTGCTGCCTTGTGGGTGTGGTTTCCTTTTTGGTGGGTGCCCCCTTGTGGTTAACTGGAAAACAAAAGGAAAACCGAAACGCGCCATATTAAGCTCCAGGCGTACAGAGTTTGGAAGGAGAAAAGTGCTCGAAGGCGCTCGTCCTCCCGATTCCGTTCGCCCGCGGGTCGAACATAGGCCCCCTTCTGCCAAGGAGAACAAAAAAAGGCAAGAAAACTGTTTGGGCAAGAAACATGTGTACTTTGGAGCCACTTTCTATTCTGTCTGTTCGAGCGGTACACATCTAAGCTTCCCTGGTAGCCTCATGCTGCACTTAAGGTCACAGTGTTCGAAGACAGTCCTTAAACCAAGCCTTCAGCAAGTCGTCGATTGAAAAAAGCCTCGCAAAAAAGGAATGACAACCAGGGCAGATTCCATGCGGAGCATGCAAAGCCGCACGAATCCCTGGAACACTTGGCCAGTTGCAGCTGAGCCACATATTCACAAGCGGAATGGAAAACCAACCTGCAGGGAAACGTGCCGTGAAAACTTCCACAACCATAGGATAGTTCCCCGTCCATGCGGGGATTATAAAAAAAGATGTGTGATAATGTCATGTTAGCACAGAAGGCTCCCGGAAGACTTCCAAGTGGCAACAGCTGCACAACATTGTCTGCTTGTACACTGGAATGTCTAAAGCCCAAAAACATGTCTCGACCTCAGCCTTATTGGACGGCCAATCCGTTGAGAACGGAGCGGCCCTTTGGCTGGACCCGGCGATTGCTCACATGTGCGAGGGCTCTCGAGCGGAAATTTGGGCTGTTGGGCTGGGCTGTTGGCACCAGAGGTAATGAGAAGAATAAGAAAAGAAATTATGGAGAATCACAAGAGAACAGGAAGGCCAATGGCCATCCTAGGACTGCAGAGAGCAAACCGGCATTTTGCACAACTCCAATACAAACATACAGTCTTAAGGTGCGTTGGCACCACCATGCCATGCACCCATCTGAAGTCGATAAAAGAGACAAACAAAATACAGGGAAGACAAGGCGAAAGCCGAAAGCTGCTTTCTTAGTGCAAGGAAGCACTTCTTCCCCTACAAAGCCAGCGAGCATCAGATTGGAGGCAATGACAGCATATGTCTGTCGGCCTTTGAGGATCATCTCTGGCAGCAAGCCTAAGGCTCAAGTGAATCGGAATCGAAACCTGGAACGAAAAATGGTCTGCCCACCGTGAAAATTCTGTGTTTGTTTTTCAGGTTTCTTACAGGCGGCGCAGGAACTCATGGGAGCCACAATCACAACCCGGTACTACAATGGTCTACCCAGAACCATGTAAGGAAATATGGCGGAAAATGCTACTTATGGCCAGGGGATTGTCCCTTACCAACCTTCATCTACCCGGGTTTTGAGCACGTGGCTCATGGGACTGTCCCTAACCTTCACCCACCCGGGTTTCGATCGTGACAGCTGCGTTTCCTTCGTGACCGGTGACGGTTCCAACGGATCTCCGAGTCTGGGACCCACGGGGTCCACGAGCTCCGCCCAGTCTTCAAATTGCCGGTCCACGAAGCGCTCCTAAGCGCGAGTGGAGCCAGAGAGAAATGCGGCAGACATGCGCAGGTTGATGCTTTTCGACTAGATGCGGCAAAAGCACTGTGCGTAGAAATGCAGCACACAAGCTGGACGCGACAAATAGATGTTCTTTGAAAACTGCACACCCTAGAATGTTGCTGACGCGCTGTGCAGCCAAGCCGCCAAACCCATGTCAAGCATCCGCCGCGCGACGGACAAAAATCGATAGTAGTTGCCTGAGCTGAACTCCCCACTTTTCAGCTCAAACTTGGCTTATGTTCCTTTTCCCGAATAAGCCAAGTCATTGTCGCTTCGGGCGATTTTTGTTTTGCAAAATGCAGTGTGCGCAAGCTACGAATGCTACGGTTTTTGTTCATGTCCTTCGATGTTTGCCGAAACAGCTTCACGTGCCCCTTCCCCATTAGCTTGTGTCCATCTGCCCCATCCTCACAAACAAACAAAAACGTGTCTCACCTTGAGACCCACGTTTGGTCCAACCGGTCCTATTTTCTTTGGTGTCAAACCACGTCCTTTCCGAACCAAAAACTGCCGATTCCTTTAAGGCAGGCACCTCGGCTTGACTCAGACCGAAGACTCTGAAGCAATCAGATTAGGTGAAAACATCGAAAATAAAACGATGTGAAGTCCAGTTAATAACATATTAAATCGTGATTTTAACATTTGGTTAGAATGTTGAAGACTAAGTGTGTCGCATGTATTGTGCTGAAATCTTGTCTCTGCTACCAAGTTTATGTGTCTATCAGTCTAATTTTAGTCTTCCATCTGTCTCCATCCCATTTACAACTCTTGCAAAGATGCAACATGAAAGCTAGACTACTGTAAATTCCAGAAAGAGAAAGCGATAAGGTAAAGACGAGACATGTATCATTATTCTCGGATATCTGTTTGTAGTTAATTTAACAACGTTTATGTTTACTTTAGCGTTGATTGATTTGTTAATGATAATTCAGTAGGTGTATCGTATTATATTCATCTCTTATCTCCTTCTGACCCACTTCGTACGTTGCGTGAATAGCGTTGACGGAAGAAAAAAACATGTGTTCCCTCAAGTAGCTTTTCCATCCACTATATGGTGGGAGCAGTCCCCTGTCTAACCGCAAGCTTGAGTTGTGTATGAGTGCCTGCCTTTTCAGATGCCTTTGGCGTCTCGACGCCTCCATTTCATAGCCATGACATAATATGACATGGCCCTCACTCTTCCTTTCCTTACCCCACCTCTCGGATTGCTATTTCTACAAAGACAAGTTAGACCAAATGGGACAGGCTTTCAGTGCCGAGACAGGCGCGCACCCGCCTCCACAACCGCTAGACCCCTGATCGGTTAATAGAGGGGTGACCCCTCTGGAAGGATTCATGGATTCATGGATGAAGTGAAGAAAGAAAGAAAGAAAGAAAGAGAGAGAGAGAGAGAGCGACAAAAAGAAACACAAAATAACAAATAATAGAAACCGACAGAAAGAAAGAAAGATAAAGGGAAAGGAAACTATGGTTTTGTATCGGCTGCTCTACTGGTCATAGGATTTGTTTTTTTATCCTCGTTCAACATTACTGCAATCAATCTGCTTCAAACGATTCCGATTGAATGGATTGCAAGCAGCTGGTACAACCAGGCTCAAACTTCTCCATCTGCTCTGTCATCTTCATGGGATCGTACTCCACGTCAAGGAAGGTCTCATCTCCAAAGGTGACGCGATAAGGAGGGTCCACCTTGGATCCGACTCGGACATGTCAGTTTCCCATTCAGTGGCTTGGATCGGTGATTTAGTGGTTCTCCCATTTACCGAAGCAAGGGTTCAAATCCCCAAACCACCAATGCAAACCACCAACCCGGGGGTGACCTGGCTGTCAGCAACTCACAAAGCGAAGAAAAAAAAGAAGAAGAAAAAGCTTTGGCGAAGCAGCGCGCTGCAGGTTCAGCTCTTTGTGCAGGTCGGAACCCAGGCGTTTGTACGCGTCCTCGCCCCGAGCACTGAAGCGGAAGCTGCGAAAGCGGACGGATTTGCCAACACCTGTCCTCGTATTTCTTTGGAAGAAGCAGCAAGGACGGGCCAGTATCCCATCCTGGGTAACAGGCTGTACAAAGCAAGCCACCTTCTTCATTGATGACTCCCAACTGCGCTTGGATCATCTCCCCAGCCAGTGATTCCAACATGGTCCAAAGAGTGCAGAACTCAAGCTGCGTGATGTCCAAACAAGCCACACCCTTTTCACACTTTTTGATTCTGCTTCTCTTGCCAGGCTTCGGTAGCCCTTCACACTGGTCGACTGCATAGATTGGCACCGGCCGCCCACTTCGCTATTCTTCTCGAAGAGCGTCACCTGTCAACAAAAGTCCCCTCTCAGGCCTTGAATGAACCACGGCTTCCACCCCGAAAGCCGCGCCTTGAGCCCTTCTTGCGCCAACTGTGCTGCGGTAGCAAGGCCTGCTATGCCGCCGCCCACCACCAAAGCGCGCCCCTCAAAACGCGAGGTATCGAGGCGAGAATCCATGAGAGCCACCGCAGCTTGGTGAGCAAAAAGAGTCACTCCAGCCTCTTTGTGGGCACGTCGAGCTGCACGCGCCTGAGAGCTGGAATGCCACAAGTCAGCCCCACTTCTTCTTCGAGTCCATATCCCCATGCCTGGAGCCGTGTCGCCAGGGTGGCCTTGTGGAAAGGGACTGCAGTGAGCACTTGCAAAAAGGCAGGGAAGCAGGAAAGCAAAAAAGCAGTAAATGTTTACGCGAAAAGACTTGGCTGACTCTTGACACCAAAAACATTACACGCTTTTGCAAATGCTGCACTCAGCAGAGACCGAGCGCCGTGCGGCGCAGCCCAGTGCGGTCCACGTGCGTGCGCCGTGCGCAAAGCGTCGTGAGCCACGGCGCAAGTGAGGGGGAGCTGGCTGTGGCCTCACGACCAACTGAGAAGAAGACGACACAATTTGTTGAAAAGTCGCGATCTCTCAGTTTACTTATGAACTTCGCTTTCTGCCGCTTTCTGTGGTTGCAGCACATTGACCAACAAGAAAAAGCAGTAAGTGATGTCCAGTTTGGGAAGAAGCCGAGGTCGCCACACTAAGGGAGGCGAGAGCCTCACGCCTGACCACATCTCACGAGCAAGCAGCATCGATCAAATCGCGCGCCTGCAGGCAGCATCGATGCGCAGGTCCCGGCCACGCACAAAGAGCGCAGACCTCGCGGGAGCCTGTCCCCCACTGGATCCATTCCGGCGGAACACGCCAGGTCTCTCAAGCGGCATCATGACATCATCCATTGAGATGATCCAGCTGCTCACATCTACCTTCTGCCATCCGCCACAGAGTGAAAGCTGTTTTTCACACGGTCTGTCCTGGCATGAAGTTGTACAAGGGCACTCAAGTGAAGCAACCCAATACGAATTAGCCTCGGAGTATCGGCACTCCGAGGGCCTTCACACGGGAGAAAGCTTTGCTTCAAACCTTGCAGAAAGCTTAGCTTCTCCTCTCTGTACTTCGGCCACCCCGACATCATCGAGCCGGGGAAGTGGCTGGCTAGCTCGCTGGCTTGCTTGCTTGCTTGCTTGCTTGCTTGCTCGTTTCCCTGTTTCTGGGTCCTCGCAGCGCAATGACTGCTCCATTTCCAATGTCCACGAATTGGCGAGGGCAGAAACTGTCCATGCAGAGCCAGTGAGTCAAACTCTGCGCTCACGTTCAGTTGACCTGGCACCACACAGAGTACTGCAGCTGCAAGGGTCCAAGGCTATGTCAATTTTGACGGCGACTCTCTCGAACCTTTCGTCCGACCGTCCTCCGTCCCGCCTGAGCCACCCAGGGAGCCTTCCCGTCGGCCTTCTCCAGCTTCTTCCAGTGGTCTGCGAGCCGACCGCATCCGAAGCCGGGCTTTCGCCGGAAGGCGAGCCGAGGCCGGCGCCCGGGATCTTGAGGTTGCCGATGCTGCTCAAGGCGCCCTTCAGCTTGTCCGCGGTCTCCTTGTTCTTCTTCTCCCAGCTTTCTAGGCACCGCGGGAAAAACGCGGCTGGCTTCAGCAATGTTGGCACAAGTGCCGAGTCAACTACACGCTGCAGAGCTGCAAGCTGTTTTACTCAAACGTGGCGTGTCACACTTGCTAATCCAAACCCCGAAAAGCGCACAGTCTTGGTGCTTGAGGGGCAGTGAAAGTGTTGCATTCGACCCCGCTGCTCCCGCATACACTCCTACTGATCACCTAGCGCCTTTCCGTGGACACCAACGGCTGAGTCTCCTCAGCTTTTGTGGGACGTTTAGTGAGTCCCAGGTCAATCCCAAAATGAGCATAGGCGTCCACATGATTTGACCGACCCTCGCACTTCCGACGACACGACGACATGCGTCCTTTTGATCCTTCGCTCTGACGAGTGGCTGGGAGACATGAAGTTCTTCGACTGGCGCGGTCGTTGGCTGAGCCAAGTTGATATGGCTCTGGGTCAAACATGCGTACCCAAAATGGGTTGCTCTGATAAATGGAACAAGGACTAAAACCTGCGGTCCCCTGGTGGGTTTACTTTGACCCATACCAATGTAAACACTCGGCATTAACCATGAAAGTATTGTGCAACAAGACTACACGCAACTCCCTCAGCTGGCCTGCATCTTCGGGCCTAGGTAATATGTCAAGCTCTGAAGAAGAAGCGCATCGGCCGGTGCCAGTGGCTAAGCCTAGCATTGTAGTTGTAATCTGCCTTACACGTTTATGCCTGGGTGCCTTACACTGGGCAAGCTCAGAGCGAAGGGAGACTCAATCAAGACCCAATCCACGCCAAACAATTCAAAGTTGTGCCTTTCCCTTGTCCGTCAGCCTCTCTCTCTCTCTCATGAACCCTATAACCAAGTGGCCCTTCTTCTGGAGGTCCTGGCTCACAAAAGGCAAGCCCAAAAAATCCCCAAGAGCGTGTCCTTGAAGGTCTTCATCATGGCGGCTTCCGCTTTCTGCATTGACTCCTTGGCCGCCTCGATGCACCAAATGTTCGCAGTCGGGAAGCCGGGCTTCCGCCCGGGCATGTCTTTTTCCGACCATCACGGGAAGGCAACCGCCATGCCCTTGTAGGGGAAATAGATGGATTCCCCTGGATGATTAAACCACCAGGTTCACCAGGAAAACCCATCTATTTTTCTAGCAAAACCACCAAGAAGGACACCCATGGCAACCGCCTTCCCCCCCCCCGAACCCCGCGGAGTCGGAAAGCCGAAAGCCCTTCGCCTCCAGCGGGTTTCCCTTGAAGCCCTTGAAGGACTTGGTCTTCTTCTTGTCTCCTCGATCGCGCCCATTGCCAACCGGGAGAAACCCGGGAAAGATTTTCGAAACCAAGAAGGCGGCCAAGCCCGAACATGTCGGACATGGCCGCGAAGCCCTGCACAAGTCATGTCTAATTGGCCAGCTTCAGAAGCTGCGTGAGACAAAAGAAGAAGAAAAATGGGGCCTTCTGCATTTGTTCCACCATGTCCTTATCTTTGCCCTTGGCGCCTCAGTGCAAAACATACATGTCGCGCTCCTCTTTGAGTGAAAGTTGGCAGCCAATTCGATTCCCCTAGATTCATGGCTTCATGGCTTCAAGCGACTGCCAACACCATGTGCCAAAACTTTCTGATACATCAGCTGTTGGAAAAGCGAAGATCACCTTACAAATGCCTTCCGAGTTCTTTCTCTCTCTCTCTCTCTCTCCCTCCTCCAGCATGCGGTTGCAGCTCTCGCAAACGAATAAATGCCCATCCTCATTGGGACAAATAGCACCAGTTCAACATCAGCATTGTGAGTCACCAGAATTGCGTAATGCGTAACATAACGATTGAGCACCAGCTCTTTAGCTCTTTCCGGAAGACTGTCTCCTGGAAAGGTGCTACAAGTCAAGCGCTGAAAAACATCCTCCAGCGCCTCTCAGAAAATGTATGCATCCAAAATACGCGGGGCCGAAGACCAACAAAACTGTCTACCACAAGCTCTAAACAACAAGCATCAATGAAATGTGCTCAGGCATCGCAAACCAACCTGGGCATGTAATTCTCACAAGTTGACCAGTACTTTATTCTCTTCTATATTCACCCGTTCGTAGTAGTGCTTGTATAGTCGTGGTGCCCACTGAATCAATCTAGAATTGAGTGGGTGGACCACGCCATAGCCTCATATGCTGATGGCTGATTCTGGTGATTTTCATTCTTGGAAATTCCTTCATCGTACGCATATCAGGCTTGCAACAAAGAGCGCTTAGTACAAGTAGAGAACCAGATAGTCGTAGAAGGTTTTTCAGCAGCTGAGGAGAAGACCATCAATTTGGAGTTCACTGCCTTGGTGGCAGGCCCAAGGTGTCTCCCTGACTTGGTGGTTGCTGACATTGCCAAGTGGCTTTCGGAGATGAAATCAAGGCTTCTGGATGACACACCCTGGCATAGGTGCTGGGCCCCAAGAAAAGACTGGACCCCCTGCCTGCCGTTGCCGGCTTGCTGCCGTTTCATGTATCAAGCAGTTGCAAATTGACATGGCTACAAAACTCAAGAAGACCCCGCAAAAGAAGGAAAATATCTTCAGAAATCCTTATTGTGTTTCAGCCAAACAGAGAGAAAAAAAATCCTAGAATGCAGCTCTGGAGTCTACGAATCAACGGCTGAGTTGTCAATGGCAAATGTGAAATACCAAGAACCCTCATTCATTGCTTGGGTAAACTCAGCGGCCGTTGCACTTTCGTTCGCGCGCCTTCGCTGGCACCCTGAGAACAAGGAAGAGCACCAGCACCAGCGAAGCACTGACAGCCACCTCGCAAGAGCCAGCCATTGAGCTGACGTCAATTGCTATCCGGAAGACAACCACATGCTGCGACAGCCACAAAGTCCTTTGCTTCACGATGCTTGAGATGGTCAAACGATTGCGCCTTCAGCAGCGTTGGCCAACGGCGTGAAGCCGGTGCCTGATATGACCAAAGAGTTCGGTGTCAAAGCGTTTGCCACTCGACTTGAAAGTGGTTTCGCCGTGACACGTTTTGGCAAATATATGCTCTTTCTCTCTCTCTCTCTCTCTCTTTTTCTATCTGGGGAAAATGATGGACAAACACAAGATAAGGCTTACCTAAGTCTAGCTATCCTTAAGGACTTTTGCACGCCTAAGAACGTGCCTCAGCGCGGGATTCCACCCGCAAGAGCTCCTGGCATTTCGTTTTGGCCATACGAATTGTCAACCAACTCGACTCGAATTGTCGGTTACTCCTGTGCATCTTGGTTGTCCATCGCAAGCTAGAAAGCCCCACAAAGAACTTCAAAATGGCTGCTGATCAATCAATCATACCAAATCCCGCGCATCCCTCAAGCGCATGTGTAGCTGCTCCTTAATGGTTCATGTCGTGTGTGCACAAACAAGTGAAAAGCCTACAAGCCGTTCCAAGCGGCAGCACACAGCCCAAACAAGGGCAAGTAGTGGTGAGACAAATATTGGACCACACCATTCATAAACACAAAAGATGTATTTGCATACCATATCTACAGGGGTTAGCTGAAACAGATGCGTTGAACATGCAGAAGAAAATTGGCGAACAATCGGCTATGATTTCCTCCACGCATATCTTGGAGCTGTCGGACTTGCAACGCTTCTGCAAAACAAACTAAATGACTGCAATTGAAACTTTCACTGCTTCCAACTAAATGCAAAATTGTCGTCCTAACGTTTATATTCGTGCGTTCTTTTGTTTGCCAATGTGTTTGTTTGTTGGTTTCCTGGTTTGGGTACCTGCCTGCTTGCTTCAGCGGAAACAGCATCTGCTGCAGCAGCAGCGCAACAGCTGCAGCAGAAGCTCCAAAAGCACCACCACTCCCACCACCACCACAACCAACAACAACAACAACAACATCTAACAACCACCAACAACAACCACCAAAAACGCCGAACAATCACCAACAACACCCAACAACCGCCAAAAACCACCAACAACCACCAACACCCACCAACAACCATCAATAACAACCAACACCCACCAACAACCATCAATAACAACCAACAACCAACAACCAACAACCAACAACCACAACAACAACAACAACAACAACAACAACAACAACAACAACAACAACAACAACAGCAGCAGCAGCAGCAGCAACAACAACAACAACAAGAAGAACAACAGGAACGACAAGAACAACAACCACAACAACCACAACAACCACAACAACGACAACAACCACCACCACCACCCACAACAACAACAACAACAACAACCAACAGCCAACAACCACCACCACCACCACCAACAACAACAGCAACAACAACAAGAACAACAAGAACAACAAGAACAACAAGCACAACAAGAACAACAAGAACAACAAGAACGACAAGAACGAAAAGAACGACAAGAACAACAAGAACAACAAGAACAACAAGAACAACAAGAAGAACAACAAGAAGAACAACAAGAACAACAACAAGAACAACAACAAGAAACAACAACAAGAACAACAACAAGAACAACAACAAGAACAACAACAAGAACAACAACAACAACAACAACAACAACAACAACAACAAGAACAAGAACAAGAACAAAAACAAGAACAAGAACAAGAACAAGAACAAGAACAAGAACAAGAACAAGAACAAGAACAAGAACAAGAACAAGAACAAGAACAAGAACAAGAACAAGAACAAGAACAAGAACAAGAACAAGAACAAGAACAAGAACAAGAACAAGAACAAGAACAAACAAGAACAAGAACAACAAGAACAACAACAACAACAACAACAACAACAACAACAACAACAACAACAACAACAACAACAACAACAACAACAACAACAACAACAACAACACAACACAACACACACAACAACACAAACAAACAACAACAACAACAACAACAACAACACAACACAACACAACACAAACAACAACAACAACAACAACAACAACAACAACAACAACAACAACAACAACAACAACAACAACAGCAACAGCAACAGCAACAGCAACAGCAACAACAGCAACAGCAACAGCAACAGCAACAGCAACAGCAACAGCAACAGCAACAGCAACAACAACAACAACAACAACAACAACAACAACAACAACAACAGCAGCAACAACAACCACGCCGACGCTCTGGGCGCGCGCGGAATCGCCTACGCAAACGCCAATGGCACCGCCGCGCAGCGGCCATTTTTCACTGCCAGAGCCACGCAGTGTCATGCGCCAGAGCAAAACAGTCTTCAGGAGCACAGCCAACTTGCGATGAAAAGCCCGTGCGCTTATCATTTGGGCCAATTTGGGTTGGCCCCAAAAAAACAGCCCGTGGGCGTGGGTTCTTATCATTTGGGCCAGGTGGATACAGAAAAGCGCGCGGGCGTGGGTTCTTATCATTTCGGCCAGGTGGATACAGTTCCCCGTGGGTTCTTATCATTTGGGCCAGGTGGATACAGTTCCCCGAAACAATTTGGGCTAGGTGGGCCCAGCTGGCCTACCGCCTGCTCTACTGCTGCTATCTGCGTCAAGACTTAGGGTTTGAAGCAAACGGCCACTATGGGGAAGACTTTCTCGAGCAAACAGCCCTTGATTGCAGCATCCTCGGCCGGCGAGCTCAAAGCCTGGCGAGCCACGCTATGAAAGCATGGAGGCCCTGAAGGATCCAGCCGACGACTTCAACGTGCGGGATCCCCGCAAGCTGTACGGCCACCCACGAGCTGGTTGGGGACAAGAAGAACTTCGTGAGGACCGCAACGCCACGGCGGTGGTGGAGCGGGGCATCCAGACGCTGAAGAAGGACTTGGCGAGTCGCCCGGGGCGGCCAATGGAGCGACCACTTCAAGCAGGCCGGGGCCTACAACGCCCCGGCCGCACAAGGCCGTCTACATGGCACCCCAAAAAAAAGAGAAGCAACCGGCCACAAAACTGCGTCTACAAAACAAAGCCGACAAGTTCCAGCACAACAGGGAGCTGACCGAGCAACGCATCAAGACGCTGGGGCCTTCAGGGCGCCCACCAACGCCGCCCGGAGCTTCAACCTGCAGCACCGCGATGTGCGGCTGCAAGGCCGGGAGACGCTGCTGAAGCTGGCCCTGCCGGCGCCCCGGGGCAGCGGCAACGCCGCGGGCAGGCTGACCATTCTTGAGCAGACTTGACGGAAGCAACATTCCTTAGCTTGTGGAGCGAGTTTTCAGCCCAAACACGACTTTGCCAATCTCGACCTTAGAGCGTATCCCCTGGACCCCGCCCAAAACGTGCATTCAGTTTGCGGATGCAAGCCTGATAATTACCCATGAAACATGTGAAGCCTCTTACGTGACACGTCTGGGTCCGCCCTGCTCTCACGTGCAAGCGCGCTTTTCATACATTCACAGGAGTTTCAGCACGTCCAGCTGCGCAATGATAGTCTCGCAACTCATGAGAGAGTATTTCTTCTCCTCCTGGCGTCTGGCCCATTTCTTGTTTGAAGAATTCTGCCAGCCTTCAGACTCACTGCAAATCTGCAGCAACACATTTTGCATGTCCTCAACGTTATCCTTCTTCACCTTGTCCTGGAACTTCAGGCGGTCTGCCCGCTTTTTCTTCCCACAACAACATTGCACTGCAATGAACTCGAGATTACCAGTTGCCTTGCGTTTCACAGGGATCAAAAGGTCGTGGTGAGCCGTTTCAAAATTCCGGTTGGACTTGATGGCCTTCCCGGCTTTGCTTTCGACACTGGCTTCACTGTCCCTCACATAATCCACGCCCTCACTCCAGCACACTTCGAAGGGCCTCAAAACAGCTCGCAAATGTGGATCCTCCGTAGGGTAGATCTCCAGAAAAGGGACCCAGGTGACTTCAGCACTCACTTTTTGTGCCATGCAGTAAAGGCGGAACCGCGCAGCCAGGGAGTTCGCAACCAAGTCGCCCCATGGCTTCGCCCTCTCAGTCGTGCCCCCTGCCTTCAACTTCAAATAATCTGGCAAGAGACCGTTCAGGTCAATGCTCAGCTCTTTCAAATCACCTTGGAGTTTGTCTTTGATCTTGACATCCTCACACCACCACAGCCGTGGAACACGCACGGACGACATACCATCTGGAAACGCTGCTCCAGCGCTGAAGATGTCAGACCACCTTAGTGATGTTCCAGGCACGTGATCTGCCACTGGCCATCGAACCGCCGAGCAAAGAATCAGCGCCAAAGCAACTTCTCGCTGATTGAAGTAGGAGGGTACTTCTGGGTATGTGTGTTTCAACTCGTCCAATATCATGGCGCGGGCAGCGTGAACAGTTGACTCATCACTGTAGAAAGCCCACGACAGAAGCTGGGGTATGCCAGCAGACAGAAAATGTATCTGATTGAAGTCCTCCTCCGCATACTGCGTAGCTCTCCACTCCTTCATGGATTGTCTGGCCGCTTGCAGTGACAATGGCGCCAGAGACGGCAATTCCTGGACATTCAGCAGCGCTTTCTCCTCGGATGTCCTGTTGTTCATGTTCATTGTGCTGGCGCAAAACATGGCCACGTCCTGCGGGAACTGGCTAAATACAACTGTGAAAGATGACGCCCTCACAAGCCACTCCGCTTGATCCAGGAAGACATAAAAACCACACTCTGGCGTTGCATTGAAGGCTGCGGCTGTTAGCTCTTGCCACTGCTCGAATGCCTCCTCAGGGGTTTGGCAATATGATTGAATCCAACAATCACAAGAAAATGCAGGGGGACGGGGAGGTGGTTCTTTGAGTACCTCCACTACACGAAAGAAATCAGCGCCACGGAAATTGACAACCTGCCCAGAACTCAACTCTACGGAGTAGCCTCTGAAGAAATTGCAAAGGTGCCACGCCATCATTGCAGAAGTCACAAGCGAAATATCTTCCAGTCTCACCCAGTTCAATTCTTGCGCAGTAAGTACCAAGAGCCGTCCGCATCTTCGGCTTTCTGCAAAGTGAGAGTCGTTCAGAGCCAGGTGTCGTACAAGCGATGTCTTGCCTGTGCCCCGCGGGCTCCACAAGCCCACGATCGTTGGCTTGTTGGCCTTTCGCTTGCGGGTCTGCTCTATTTCGTCGACAATCCTCTTCACAACCGCTTCTCTTTCCAGAAACGGCATTGTTTCCTTGTTCTTGATTCGCCGGTTCACTGCGCGCTCTTCAAGGTCAGGAAGTTCTTCGTCCAAATCGCTGAGACGAGGATATTCATCCTGCACGGAAGCTACATAAAATTGTTTTTGCCCCTAATTTCAAGAGAAACACCCAAATGTATTGAATGATGAGTGTCCTCTTCAAATGGTATGGCGCGGAGAGCCACTGCCAACGCTGGTTTTGACACCTCCTTATCAGCTCGCAGGATGCAGAGGAGACAGTGTCGGTCCCGGACAACTCTGAGGACTGGGCTGGCGGGCGGCTGTTACGGTCCTGGAATGGCAGGTTACAAATGGAAGCATCAGAAAGAGGGACTTGCATGGGGGGTTGTCCTTTAAAAAAATTGATTATTTTTCTCTAGTTTCCCTTCAAACCAACCCAAAAATCGAAAGCAGCAAAAAAAGGCACTCCCTCAGTCCCAATCCTGACCAGGCCAAACTCGGGAATGGGCCAGTGCGCTGTTGCCAGAACCGCACGGCACAAACAGGAACATCCAAAATGGGGACTGTACGGTCCTTCCGCCGAGCTCCGGCAAAGTCGCGGGCGGATGGGGACCCCTGAAACGAAAATCCTTTCATTTGCAAACGCTCCATCCCAAGACCCGGGCCGTCAGCACAATCCCGAGGAGGCCGAGACACGCACCTGAGGCATACGGACAAAAAAACAAGGGCACAAAGCGGCTGGCCTCGGGCTCTCCTGGAACTCGCTGCCATGGCCGCTGCAAGACTTTGATTCCTCACAACTCGATGCGTTGGTAATCTGCTTGATTTGATGAGCACTCGCGGGCAACGGACGGACCTTTCGCTTCTCAGTGCCATGATTCAACTCTGCGCAGCGGCCAGCAGTGTTGTTGTTTTTTTCGCGTTCGGTACAAATCCCGCAATCAGACCTGGGCACATTTGACTCCGGCGGCTTGCTTATGAGGCACAGGCTGCATTCCGACAATCTGTCCACAACGCAAGGACACAATTCCACACATAGTCACGGAATTCCACGTCCGAACACAAAACCATGCGCAACCTCGCTGGTCAGGGCGGGGCAGCTAGGGACTTAGGGAACCCAGTGAACTTAGGGAACGCAGGGAACTGAGGGAACCTAACAAACCCGGGGAACCTAGGGAACCGGACGAACCTAGGGAACCCGGAAAACCTTGGGAACTTGAGAGACTGGGGGCTGCATGATTTGTTCTTTCTTCTTCTTCTTGTGCTTCCAAGTGTGTTTAATCCTCAATCTGAAAACCAAATGGAGAAGGGTTCAGCTGAATCAACTGCAGAAAACAAAGAATTAAAGACTGCGGCAAAACGGTATTGTGGAGGAGGTCTCTTTCCAAAGCTCCCAAGTTCCCTAGTTCTCTAGGGGGGGTCCCTGGGTTCCCTAAATTCCCCTAGTTTTCTAAGTTCCCTGGGTTCCTTAAGTTCCCCAAGTTCCCTAAGTTCCCTAAGTTCCCTAGGTTGCGGTCCCTAACTTCCCTGGGTTCCCTAGTTCCCTTGGTTGCCCTGAGTTTTCGAAGTTATAGCCACCCGGGGGTTATCTAAAAAAACACATCTCCAGCATGCCAGCACCAGCATCATCACCCCTCCCGCACACGCCTCTGCCCTCAAAACCAAGATGCTGAGAAAATTGGGGTGACGCAACTCACTTTACGTTTTCCCCCGGGGGGTCGGGAGTTATAGCCGCCCGGGGCTAAACTAGAGGACGATTGGCCCGAAAGCATTTTTCCCCCCAAGCGCTCTTCCAGCCGCGGAGACACCTTTTGTACATTTTGGGCGTGTCTGCACGCGGCGATGCTCAATGTTGGCAGTGTCTGCGCAAACTGGCTGCTGCGCGCAAGTTGCTCTCTGCAAGCTGCTGCGCGTAAGTTAGAATCTTGATCACTGCTTCAAGCCGTAAGCGAACATGCAACAAAAAGACAAAAGAGTACGACCGACAAAAGATGCGCTTGCTCTTTTTCTTTATGAGGCGTTGCTTGGAAGTCAAGGCTCGGGGGTGCAGGGAGAAAGACAAAGCGTGTCCTTTCCCCGTGTCTGCACCCCCCTGCGGAGCCTTCTCAAATGCCCCCGTGGTCAACAAAGTCTGTTCGACCAGGCGCCAGGTGTGTTACCTGTGAGGCGTGAAACATTCGAAGGCATTGGTTGTTGCAGGCTGCCATGTGTGCATCCGGCTGGTGTGCAATGGGGCACACGGTGCAGGGTTGGGACCTGCCGAGGCGGTCACTGCATGCGGCGGCATGTCATGCGCAGTACCTGTCGGCACCACAACAGCAGCAAGCAGCAAGCAGCAAGCAGCAAGCAGCAAGCAGCAAGCAGCAAGCAGCAAGCAGCAAGCAGCAAGCAGCAAGCAGCAAGCAGCAAGCAGCAAGCAGCAAGCAGCAAGCAGCAAGCAGCAAGCAGCAAGCAGCAAGCGAGCAAGCAGCAAGCAG